CGACCAGAGACGTCTTCGAAAGACGCGTGTCTGAAATTGATCAAAAGGGGAATTGAATAAATTTACTGATTCATAGTGATAATAAACCTCACTTACATCTTTAACTTTGAGACTATGCTACCTAATCGAATCAGTCTCATGGAGATTCTTCCGGTGTACCACACCAGAACTACGCCCCCCATTTGAAAACTCCATTACCATGGAGATACTCTAACCATAACAGATAGGGTACGGTGTTATCGCTTAGCGTATGTGATACAATAGTACGGCTTATCAGTAAGCTGATCTCATTCTGTGTGTACCACACCAGCGTACCTGGTGTTCACAATCGTTTGTGTAACCCCATTACAACCTTTTAAATCTCAAGATCAAGTGTTGCACAAAAAAATTAGGCAGGGGACTAATCACAATGCAGAGAGAAGACGGATGCCACCAAGCCAGTGCATAAACGCTGGCAACACTTCTATCATCGGCTGCTCAACTTCACAATAGCAGCTTCTATGCCGTGTTTTGTTTTTACCATGTGAGTACATATTCTGTATGACCCAATTAGCTCCGAAGGATGCTTATGAAACAACGGATAAAGCTTGATACCCAAAGGCAAATATTTGATTTTACTTTCGAAAGCGACGATCACTACAAAAATGAGGTCTGAAGATGAAATGGGGGTTGTTGGATTTGTGAATGATAAGGATTTCATGACGGTACAGGTCACACATACCGACACCAGGTGTGTAACGGGGCACTGGTCACTAGTTCTGCTTCAGTACTAGTACACCTACACTGACAACGCTCGATAGGAGTAAAAGTACAACTGTAATAAATTTTATCAAGTCATAGTTACATGCACTTATGTTTAGTCCTAGCTTTACTAAATGTAGTTACAAAAGTGTATATTTAAGTGTTGCTCTCCAGTCAATGCGCGAATCCATAGTAAATTAAACAGCTAGAGCTGGCTGATATGACGGCCTATATAATCCAATCATCAGTGTTTTTGAATATATTGCCTGACGAAAGTATCCTAATTTTCGAGTATCTAGGTTAATTACGTGTAACAGGCTAACCCTGTTCCATCACCTCCCCTTAAACGATAGTCACTCAGTCACTATGATGTGGACGTGGTCACAGTTAAACCACATCAGAGACAAGGAGAATTTGTTAGTTCTGATAAAATCACGTTTGGAACTTTATTGCAGGGTGAACAAAACCATGTGATGTGCGGCAAAAGCTGCTGAGAAGTCAGCTACACGTGTAAACGCATCTTCTGTTAAAAACAGCCAGCCTAATGTGGCAGACGATGCTTAGTCTGGTGCCCCTTTAACTATCGCTAATGCACTAATTGCTGCCGAAGCACCACGTGCTAATCATTATGGTTACCAAGTGGACCCCATCTATCCAATGAATTGGGATGGTGGGTCCGACTCGAAGAAAATGCCTAGGTCGCTTGTTTTTCAAAGGGCTAACGAGTACGAGCTTACAAATAGAACTCGAGGGGGGTAGTCAGGCTCATGGCACTACAAGAGCCTTTCCAGTTCGGAGGATGAGTATTCTGAATTATATTCTGCGCCTGCTAATGCGCACTTGCTTCCTGTCAAATGAGGTGATGTTTTGCAACGTCGTGGTGACGATTGTAGTGGTACTAGACTCCCATTGGTACCACTCAGGAGGCTCCAGACAAGTGGGCTTCGTCTAGCCCCTAAACTGAAGCCTTAGATACCATCTGATATTTTTGCGAATGAATTACCAGGCGAGACATGTCAACGTCATCAAAAGCCTTTGTTCAATGCAAGGCTGTTACACGGCCTCGACATCAGCGCGAGCAATTTATGCGCTGAAGAGAACTTTCAGTCGATACTTTTCTGAAGCATCGTTAATATAGCGGTAGCAACAAGCGAGACGAAAGGTAGAGGCTGCAGGCGTGGATCGCCTTCATACTCAATGATCAGCACAGCGGACATGATGCCTAGATTGCTAAAAAATTACGCATTTCGTGTCAGGTTTTAGAAACAAATTTTAAAGAGTGAGAAAGTCCGGTTACACAATCTGTTTCGTGAGGCAGTAATTCTAAATGCACGTGGGGCTTCTCATGTCCGTATTGTTCTGACAACACGCAACGCGACTAAAGAGATTTGTACTCCCTTTTTTCACCCTAAGGTAGGGCCCACATTTCTTTTAAGATGCGCGAGGCGGTTACTTACCTTCAATCGCTCTGATAGCGCCACGGGCGCGTGATTTCTGGATGGATCCTTTGAGTCAGCGGTTATGTCTCGTCGTACTGGTGAGCGAGACCCTCAGCGTCAATTATTAGCTAGGTGAGAGGCTTTCAGTGGTCATGCGACGGCGGATAGCCGCGCCAGCGAACATGATGACTCGTTCCCTGCTTCTTCACGTAACAGTGATCAAGATGCTCTCCAGTTGAAAGCGTTGAGCACCGTGCGAGTCTACTAAAAGCTGTGGTGGGGCCGGGATTATCGACTCCAAAATATGTGTTGAAGTTGCAGGCGGAGCTAGATCGTGTTCAGCATCGTGTACACGATCTGTGCAATCGCACCGATCAAGAGAGACAAGAGCATCTCTCTTTGGACGCGTGATTTCAAAGCCTCCGTCTTTTTCGGTCGGACGACCGAGCGAGGTTGGCGTTTTTCAAATTCGGAAAACGAGCTGAGGCGTCAAGCCCATCGCGACAAAGTGTTGGACATTTGTCGCCAACATGCGGCACTAAAGAGATAGAATGAGAAAAAGGCTCGACCAAAAGATTCTCTTGGAGTTTTTTTAACGTGGCGGGTGCATTCGCCCGAGGAAGAGGCCTCGTACTGATATTGGTTGAGGATACGGCCGACATAGAACGTAGAAATGCAAGCGCATCCTGCGAGGCAACTCGATCGTGTTCGCTTTGTCTTTGCAGTGAAGTACACGAAACAGCCCGATGTACTTAAGTAGTAATCTATTACTAACTACACTTGTTATCACAAGCTTGGGTAGAGTAATCAGAGACAGTGACACTAAGTCCTCTTCATCACAGAAAGAACGTTTACTCTTTCATGTTTGTCAGCGTTCTGTTTCTGCCGTTCCACCGCTGAAGCGATGAAGGCTTGCACAAAACGGACCACTACTTCTCGAGTGAACACAATATTCTCTGCTGACTCTGTTATGTTTCTATCAAGGCGCTTGGTGCACACTGCTAAAATCTGTCTTTCTTCTTCAGCTAGGGTGCTATCATCCTCGCTGGGATAGCCACTAGCAATGCAGAATATTTCAGCAAGTTTCTCCTTGTCTAAATCAGCAATAGTTTCATCACAATGCTGATGTTTTCTTCTTCGATGGCGGATTGAAATACATCGGTAAGGTCGCTTCTTCGAGTACTTTGACACGCGATAAGCAAGAGTCAGAACGGTTTTTATCGAGAAAACCCCCTACCCCCCCTTACGTAAGATTCACTCAGTAAATAGTTGGGTAGGCGTGAATGGTTTAAGCCGCTCATGAATATCGGTATGTACTTCGTCGACGCATGCATGGAATTGATGATGTCACACTCCACCATCGACAATAGATCGCTTTCAATATGTGAAAAATTGGATGTATCATGGAAGAATCTCTTTGAGGGCGCAGTTGACGCGTTCTATCCGACCATCTGTCGCCGGGTGGTTAGGGGTAGACATAGTCAGACATGTTTCATAGGTTTGGAATGCAAATTAACAAAACGCCGCCGTGGAAAGACGGTCTCTATAGACAACATGTTCATAAAGCTGACTGTAAAGTCGGGAGAGTGTGTCAATGAAGACACGAACAGCCCTGTACTGATTTGAATCCCTAACGGCAGCACGATGTACCATTCTGCTGAACTGATCAGCAAACACAAGAGTACCATATTCTTGTTAGCGTCTTCGTAATTTTTTTGTTGTTGACGAAGTCCATTGGAATTCACTGATAGAACTCTGGCGGGATTGGTAGGGGTTGTACTGGCGCTCTGGATGAAGTAACGGGCTTCTCCCGTTGGCGCACATCGCAAGCACGAATGTACTTGCGCACAAGCAAATACTGGCGGGGCCATTGTATGTATCTACTTACCGTGAAATAAGTCTTGTCACGCCCACGATGCTCACTGGATGGTGCATCATGACACTCATGCAATATGCGCTGGCGCAACTCGTTGTGAGATGGAACGACAACACGGAATGTTTCGCCGGCAACGGCTTGTTAGTACAGCGACCCATTGCGTGTAGTGTACCGATTCGCAGAGGATTGATACAAAGTCGGTAATTCCTTATGAGAGTTACGGTATGGACTTACCAGATGATCCTTCAAACGCAGAAGTGCCATTTATTATGCATATGCATTTTTGATGTCGGTAAGCTATGTTGACAGCAGAGCGCAAGTGACTAGTGTTGCAACAGTGGTGTCAACCCTACTACCGTTGTACCGCGCAGACGACTCTAAGTCGGGTCGGCGCAATAACGCGTGCTCGGCAACAGTAAGTCTTCCAGGGCTGTACTTTCTGGAGAATTTGTACTCCGCGAAGAAGAACAGCTACCATGCCATCCTTTGTAAGAGGTGTGGACTGGTAAGGCCAAGCCTAATGATGTATGGTCCGTTCAATTTATGAAAGGTTAATCACCTAGCAAATAGAAGATGAACACAGACAGAGCGCATTTCATTTTAAGGAGTTCCTTGTCATGCACCGGATAATTTCGCTCAGATGCTTGCAGCTGACGCGATTGAATGCAGACGACGCGCTCAACGCCGTCTGAGTCGTACTGCATTAACGCACAGCCGATCGCAAAATTGCTGGCGTCACAGACCACATGGAATGGTCTATCCTGATCTGCAATCACCAACACAGGCGATTGCACTAAGCTTTTATTGATGCCTTCAAAAGAGTGCTGACACTCAGTGCTCCATGACCACCTCTCGTTTTTCTTTAGTATACGAGAGAGATGTACTGTCATCTCGGCGTAGTTGCGCGAGTATCTGTGCAAGCACGCCGCCAAGCCAAGGAAATTTCAAAGTCCCTTGACTTCGGCTGGCACAGGCCAGTCGCTAATCGTCTTGATCTTTTCCGGATCAGGGCGTACACCGTTTTTACCCACGATGCACCCAAGAAGTGGTATTTCGTTCGCTGCGAATATACACTTCTTGAGGTTTGCGAAAAACTTATGCTCTCGCATTGAAGTAAGAACCTTGCGGACGTGGATTCTATGAACCTCCACGTCCGTCTTTCCATCCATAGCCCGGATATGGACGAAGACATCGTCGAAGTAACTCGGTGCGAAATCGCGCACCGATCGCAACATATTTGTAACACATCTGTTGAACGTTGCAGGGGCGTTACTTAGCCCCTGTGGCATCAATACCCACTCCCAGAGCATACCACCGGGGGTGCTCACTGCTGTGTACGGGATGTCCCGTTCACGCGTGAGGATCTGACAGAATCCATCCATCAGATCCATGGATGAAAAGATGGTACTTTTTGCCATACCTTCTAGGATGACATCCTTTCTTGGGATCGGCGTGTGAGCCGGTACCGTTGCAGCATTCGACTTGTTAAATGCATGCACTATCCGCCAACCTCATGTTGCTTTTCGCGCACAGAAGGTCGGAGAGCAATATGGGGATGTTGATTCCCTCACATGACCAGCTGCTAAGCATTTGGCAAAGAACTTGTCGATCGCTGTGACTTGTTCACGATGCAATGACCACTGCTTCATGACGCAGTATTTTGAACCGGGTTTTAGTTCGATCTCATGCCTGGTGCCTTTGTCCTTAGGCAGCTCGCATGGCACGGATTCCGGTAAAACATCCCTGAATTCAACCAAATCCTTATACAAAGGATTTGTCTTCAGAGAATCCCGAGATTGGGACGTGTATCGCTCAATCCGGGTCTTCTCATCGAGGACACTCTCGTCCATCGATAAGCTACTGAGAACCAGTTTGTTAGTTTGTTCTCAGCAAGCGCTAGCGACGACCGAGTATAGGCAACGCACTCGTACTCTGGGACGAGTGCGCAGATCTGCTTCATCTTGTCACTACGCAGATCTTGCAAGAATCGTTTAGATACTAGCATTGGCAACTTGACTACATCCGAAGCTGATTTCGGAGGTGATACCAGATCAAGTGTTTGAGCGCCTATACTTGATCCGTCATTCACCAAGACATTCACGGTCTCAGTGATTTCCTGGGAAAACACATCCGCAGGTGGTTGGGGATCCACACCCTCAACATAATTTTCGCGGGAGTTATCACTCTCAGGAACGCTAGAACTTTCTTCCATTACGTGTTATGACTGTGGGTGCACTACCACAGTCACGTCCTCTTCGATCGACTCTCTTTTCTCGATCGGGCTTGCTCTACGATCGACTCTCTGATAGTCGATCTCGCTTCAACGTGTTGTTCATCCTGAACAACACTAATCTTTCTCCTCGGATGCACCCTTCTTGGTGTGCATCTGTGTTCCAGTCCAATCGATCTCTTCGAGTGGTGAACCTTCGGCGCAGCCTGTGTCTCTCCACAGGTGCCGGAAGCTGGTTCCACAGTGCAGTGGCCTTCTACACTGTGATCTTGTGCAGTCATACTAACGACCGTACCACAAGTGAGGCCATCGCACTCACTCGTAGTGCATCCAAACGCTTGTGGAAGCTCCAAGACGCTCATCAGATGGTCACCCGATGAACATAAGGCAGGCATCTTCACGGATTGATGATGCCAGCTAACCCATGGCCGGTACTTTCTGGTACTTTCAGGCCGAGGATGACATCAAATTTGTCATCCAAGTCTAGTACAATGAAATCATCATCGTACTGCTTTCCTTCTAGCGTGTAGTGGACTCCAACTACACGTTTGTTCACTGCTATGGATGCGCCTGTTGCAAGGCAAACCGTCAGATGCTTCGGAGAGTTGTCGCACTCAACAAAATTGACCAACCGATTCTCGAGCGACTGGCAACGAAATATTCTGTTCGACGCCGTACAGCCTACTAATTGCACGAAGTGACTTTCGACTTGTCACGTCCAGCTTAACGGTGAAGAGTTACACCTTATCACCAAGTGCAGAAACAAATATTGATTGTAAGTCAGGGGCAACTATATTAAGAGATGTGCAAATTCTTTTATAGGAGAATTATAACATCAATTTTGAGATATTGTGGCATTGACTATACAAATAAGATTGCCGGATCAACAAGGCGCTTCGCCAGTACTTATTCTTACTGTTTCATCTGGCCGCTACGCTGTGCGATTTTTCAACAATGTTCGAAACGCGTTCCTTGCTCTTCTTGGTATACGTTTAATCAGTTCGCTCAGTGTTTTGACACACTAGGCGTAAGTACACTCGTAAGTGTAATAAAGCGACGTTTCGGTGATGACGAGCTCAAGAGTCGAAGAGCCGAATGGAATGGGACCTCGCGGCCGGGAAAAGGACTAGAGACTTGTAGGGTACAAGGAAAAAGTGACCGTTGGATCTAACCGTGACAAGTGGTGTAGGTTACCACTAACGGGTTCACACCGACCGACGGTTCCAGTTAATTTTTAAGAATCGGTGACGCTACATGTGCGTTATGGAATGGACATGCGTCGGCATAAGCGTGTTCACGTAGTTGCTCTAAGTAGTATTACACGTTTAGGACAATATTTTGCGACGTTTTCACCACGCTGTATCTCAAGTGGTTAGTGTGGCAGCACTATATCAAAGGTCACCGGTTCGATCCCGGCAGCGAAAGTTGAACCTTCGGGTCCTGGCGTTTGGGGTTCACCAGCACTGTCCTGCCAGGCAGTGACGTCCCCCATTTTTGTCACCGGAAAAGAAACCGTTTTATGGGAAAGGAATATGAGAAAGGAAGAACCGTTAATGGGAAAAGAACATGAGAAAGGACATTCTCTGATTTGATAAAACGGTTGGAAAGAAGGACGGACCAGGAAAGATGATAGGCAACGGTAGGAACGTGATTCAACGCATAACATAATTCACTTTTGATTTTGCTGCTTCGATCAACAAGTATTCTTCACTTCAACGCTCCGCTAATATTTTAACAGGTTATAAGCCCAAGTAACGACTCTGTGCCTAAGGTGACACTTTTTGACGGTACCAACTATCCATTATGGGCGTTCAAGATGATGATGTACCTCATTTTCAAAGGGTTATGGGAAGCGGTAAACGCCACATCTGGCGTCTCCGAGGCGAAGGAGCAGCAGGCGCATGCGGTAATCGTGCTCAACTTGAGCGATACTTAGCTTATGCATGTTATAGTAACGGATAGTGCACGCGAAGCATGGGGAGCCCTCGCACGTGTTCATCGGACTCAAGACATGGCAAGTCGGCTTTGGCTGAAAGAGAGGTTTGCCACATTCAAGTATACCGCGACGGACACGAGCACTGACATCATGGAGCTGGAGCGACTCGTGCTAGAGATGAATATAACGTCGTCTGGACCGAGTGAATAAGATACGTGTGCAATATTGCTACGAAGTCTTCCGGCACAATACTAGAGTCTAGTGCAGGCTTTTCGCATGAGCGTCACGCAGTTCAGCTTCAAAGATCTAGTGAGCAAGCTGATCGCCGAGGAAGTGCGCAAGAAGGATGACGTGCGCATTGAAGACGAGACAGCTCTTCTTGCCGGAAAACGACAGGAGAAGAAAAACTACAACAAAAGGAGCGGTGGTCAGCGACGGACAGGGTTCGGTCTTCAGTGCTTTAATTGTGGTAAGCGCGACCAATGCGCACGCGACTGCCGGAAAAAGAAACGTGATAGTAGTGACAGACAAGAAGATCACTCAAAAGTGGCGTTTAACGCCACTCAAGAAATATGAGCGACTGCAGGATCGTGGACAGCGGCGCAAATGCACATATATGCAAGGATAGAGACGCGTTTTCGAGTACGCGGAATCGTCGACAGCTCACAACGTGAATAGCGCGAATATCAATGCGAGCTTAAAGGTGCTTGGACAAGGCACGGTTGTATTGCGTGTTTGGAACGGCATATTGTGGACAAATGCACGACTGGATATTACACTTTACGTGCAAGACCTCAAAAAGAACCTGTTCTCGCTGACATCAGCTACTGCGCGCGAGGTGAAGATTGAGATCAATGGTGCCGGGTGTATTGTATTCAAAAGCGGGCGAATCCTCGCAACAGGTGTACGACGTGGGATACCTTTAACACTGAATGTCGAAGAGGTTCCACAATGCCATGTGCTCGAAAACGATGCTGAACTGTGGCATCGCCGACTTGGGCACGTGTCATACTCTACCGTTAACAAGCTTATTAAAGAAAGCTGCACTAAAGGAAAGAGAATGGAACCGGAAGTTGTCTGTGATATTTGTGCGACAACCAAGCAAGTACGCAAGACGTTTAGCAATAATGAGGCTGATGCTGCAGCAAGGGAGAGTCAACGTATAGACTCAATTGTATGCTTTGATTTTCTGGGACCAATATCAATAGCATCAAGGTCGAACTATCGCTACATCGTGACGTTCATGATGATGAGAAGCCAGTATGCGATGGCCTTCCCGCTACGCAAGAAGAGCGATGCTACCAAAGCGTTTCAAAGGTGCTATCACGATATTAAGCTCGAATGCGGATTGGACGTGAAGGTACTACGCAGTGGTAATGGCGGTGATTACCGAAATGACGATATGACTAGATTCTTTCGGCAAAAGATGATCAAGCAGGAGTTTATAGTGCCCTACAATCCGGAGCAGAATGGCATGGCAGAGCGACTAAACCGCACACTGGTTGAGATGACGCGTTGTATGCTGAGCGAGGCTAAGATGGACAAGGCATACTTGGGTGAGGCAATACTGACTACTGTGGAATTTCGCAACGTTCTTCCGAGCGCATCTATTACTATTTCGAGCCCATTCGAGATGGCCTTCAAGCGCAAATCTCGTATTGATGTATTGCGAGTCTTAGATAGCCTTTGCTACGTGCATATTCCTAAAGCGAAGCGAAGTAAGCTGGACCCCTCGGGTTTACGGTGTATGCTGCTCGGATACGCCAAGCAGCACAAAGTGTATCGACTCCTTGATACAATTACTGGAAAAGTATTCATTTTCCGAAGTGTGACATTTGCGGAAATTGTGGTGGATCAACCGTGCAACGAAAACACTCCTAGTGTTATTGACGTTTTGGATGACAGTGAAGGTAATCTGGATTTTAGTGATCCATGCATCAAGCGATGAAGACACCTGCACGCCGGTTCCAGGAAATCCGGTAATGACGCCTGACCGAACGGGCCCAGCGGAAAAACCAAACGGCTCTATCACGACACGACAATCAAGCGCTCCAGGACGAGACAGTGAACAAAAGTCTAATGTGAGACCAGTACGGAAGAAACAAGCCATTAAGCGCTACGAACAAAAGTTTACCTATCTCAGGCGAGGGACGGTTAACCTCGACGACTACGACGCTATTTACGAGGCACATTACTGCTTCAGCGCAGAAGAGGATGGCGAAAGCGCCTCAACTTACGATCAAGTGCTGCGTAGAAAGTACAAGGATGAAAGGATGCGTGCCATGAAATGTAAAATTCAATCTTTGACACAGCACGACACGTGGACGCTTCAAGATTTACCTTTGGACAAGAGATTTATCGGATGCAAATGGGTATTTCGTCTAAAAATCAAATCAAATGGAGAAATTTTGAAGTTCAAGGCACCAATCGTGGCGAAGGTGTTTACCCAGCGTCCTGGCGTGGACTATTTTGAAACTTTTGCTTCAGTGGCGCAAAGAGAGTTGATCGACGTTGCTCTTGCAATTGCAGCAGAGCAACATTTGCTAATGAAGAATGTCGATGTCGACACTGCATTCCTGCACGATGAAGTCAAAGAAGTGATATACATGGACCAGCCTTATGAATTTGTTGACAAGCAACACCGTGACAAAAAATGTCTGCTCAGTAAGGGTTTGTACGGTACAAAGCAAGCAACACGAGAATGGAATTCTTATCTAAACAAATCACCTTCTACGTCAAGGGTTTACGCGTACGACTGCCGATCTTTGTGTATATGAACAACGATCAGATGCTAACTTTAGTATCGTGATCATCCACGTTGACGACTTGATACTTTTTGCGCGGACACAAGAGCATATTGATGACATCAAACGTGCACTTAATACCGAGGTTAGTATCAAGGAGCTAGGCGAGCTGAAGTACTGTCTCGGCATCGAATCGACACGTGATTACGAGTGCAGATCAATTAGAATGAATCAGCATTCATACATCAAGCGTTTGGCGGAGAAACATGGCGTCGATCAATGCAAGGATATGCACACACCGTCAAACGAAAGTGATAAACTGACCAAGCTGGGCGACAACGACGAATTTTTGACCAAATGGCCTGTGTGAGCTAGTTGGTGCACTAATGTACGTTGCAACGTGCAATAGAACAGACATCATGCACGCGGTAGGAGAAGTGGCCAAGTACTGCGAGTATTGTATGAAAAGCCACTGGATCGCAGCCAAGCGCGTTCTCAAATACCTGAAGACGACGGCTGATTAAATTACTGTATTTCACGGCAAGGACAAGGGAGAGCTGCTAGGTTTGCAGATTTATCATAGGCAAGCGACTTGGACTCTCGCCGACCGACGATAGGATGCATTTTTATTTTGCATGGCAACGTGGTGTCTTGGAAGTCGAAGCGACAACGACAGTGGCGACATCCAGCACCGAAGCTGAGTATATGGCATTGTACTCTGCAGCACAAGAGGCGGTATGGCTACGCCTGTTACTGTCCAACCTTGGCTTTAAAATGGAAGCGGCAACGACTATCTTTGACGACAATCAAGGTTGCATCGCGCTGGCAAAAAATCCAGTCCTATATTCGAGAACAAAGCAAATCGACATTAAGCTTCACTTTCTTCGCGAAAAGGTCAAGGAAGACGTCATCCAGCTTGAGTACAAGCCAACAGACGAGATAATTGCAGACAGCTTAACGAAGGCTCTTAAGGGGAACAAGCATTTAATTTATCTGCAAGGTCTGGACTTACAAGTGTAGGAAATTCAACGCCCGTACGTGCGCATCAAGGGACAGTGTTAAGAGTCGGAGACGCGACATGTGCGTTGTGGAATGGACATGCGTCGGCATAAGCGTGTTCACGTAGTTGCTCTAAGTAGTATTACACGTTTAGGACAATATTTTGCGATGTTTTCACCACGCTGTATCTCAAGTGGGTTAGTGTGGCAGCACTATGTCAAAGGTCACCGGTTCGATACCGGCAGCGAAAGTTAAACCTTCGGGTCCTGGTGTTTGGGGTTCACCAGCACTGTCCTGCCAGGCAGTGACGTCCCCCACTTTCGTCACCGGAAAGGAAACCGTTTTATGGGAAAGGAACATGAGAAAGGAAGAACCGTTTCTGGGAAAGGAACATGAGAAAGGACATTCTCTGATTTGATAAAACGGTTGGAAAGAAGGACGGACCAGGAAAGATGATAGGCAACGGTAGAAACGTGATTCAACGCAAAACATTATTCACTTTTGACTTTGCTGCTTCGATCAACAAGTCTTATTCACTTCAACGCTCCGCTAACATTTTAACATTAAACATTACTGAGATGGATCATTATCAAACCACCCGTCGGTTGGCCTGACCGCTTAAGGTGAAACTCGGTTCCCCGTAGGCCGACCTGGCAACCCTTGGGCCGACCTGGTTACTCATAGGTCGCTCGGTCCCTCATACGCTGGTGGCTCCTAGCCACTTCACTTTGCGAACACAGGCGCAAGGCACAAAAAGATTAAAGGGGCTCAAAGGATACGACCACATTTAAGACTACTCAATTTGCGATTTAAGTAGCACGACTTGTCGTGCGCAAAAAAACTTATAAGTCTACCAAATTAGTATGCACATTGGCCTTAAGGCTCGTAGAGAAGCACTCACCCAACTCAAGCCCGATGAAAGAAGCGGTCTCCATACCCTAGTGGTAAGGGAGAAGACACAAAAAGGCCAGGCGGATAACCTTCCATAAGACAAGTAAAGGCCAGGCACCGCCAGCACCTAAGACAACTTATTATAAGACCACTCTCAATTAATTTGGTAGAGTGGCCGCCTACTTTTGACCCCGACTCCAGTGTATCCGCTCGCTCCCTTGGTTGACATACATCAAGGCCGACGCCTACATTATCACCAAGTCCTCCAAATAGTGAAAATTGCCAAGCCGAAGAGTACACATGGTGGGTCAAGATTCCCAAGCGGCATCGTGTGACCCCTTCCGACAGTCTTCCGTCCGGCACAGTGAGTGGTTTAAGGTCTTGTCAAACAGTTTTGACAACCGACTTTACCACAATGGTGCGCGTGCCCAGATCTTCGGAAGACGCGGGATCTCACTGCGAGTCACAAAATTATAGAAGACGGTAATGTCACGATATAACCGAGTCCCAAATAACTACCAGAAGAGCGACCGTCAGAGAAACAAGAAGAAAAAAGCATAGAGTCGAAGGATCGGCCGGACCTTGGGAGGGGTTCGGTTAACACGATCAAAGTTAAAATAGTTGAAGAAATATTAAATACCCTCGCTATGGCCTCGTTGAGGACGTCTTGGGTCATAACACCTATCATGCCCTAGTGAAATATCAACCGACGGTGAAAACTGAATATTTATGGTCATTGATGCAACAAAATCGTCCGGTCGCCAAGTCCAAAGCCGAAGAAAGCCAGGGTGAAAGCGCCAGGGTACACCAAGTCGATAGGTACTGACACTACAAGACCATCAATGAATTTGGATCATCGGCCGACGACGCAATCTGGTAGGCTATGGTCACCAACACCAAAACACTCCAATACCGCTAAACCCAAGCCAAAAAACACGAACA